GCATGTTAAATATGTATAAGGGTATTTACGTACTTTTACATAACAAAAAATTATATCTTTCCAACTTTATAAGATTAAATATATTTTTCAAATTTCTATTAAAATTTAGGATATTTTTCAAAATTCTCCTTTAAAATATAGTTCTAATATGTTGTCACACAAAATATAGTTCTAATAAAATCATTTTCATAACTTAAAAATCCACTAGAAATAATATTTTGAACTTTAAAATGCTCTCTTTGAACAAAACATCTAACATTTTAATGTGTTACAAACAAGAGATATCTTCGTCAAACAAGCATTATCTTCATGTCACCAAATCATGCTCTTGAATAGCTCTCCGATTCTAGATGAAACTACAATAGGTGAGGAAAATAAACAAAGACATCAACCAAAATAAAGGACTAAAATACAAATATCAATTATGTTTCTCTATGAAATGATTTTTCTTTTGTTGATCAATTACGGAAGACGAACAGAGAACAAAATACAGCAAAGAACCAAAGATTGAATGAACACTATAATAAATTCTACACTCCAAGTGTTAGACATTGGACTAGGAATCAAGACCAAGTCCAAGCCATTACCGATAACGTGAGTCTCACGGCTACTCTTAAATGCTCAGGCACTAAAAAGATCTCAGCCCTTGAATTCGCTAGCTTCGGAAACCCTATTGATGTTTGTGGAAACTTCACACTTGGTTCTTTTTGTATAATGTGTAGCTTGTGATACAAGTAACTAACCGAAAAAACACATTTGCTGCAGGCTTGTTTGGGGAAAGCAGAATGTGTGATTCCAGTGAACAAGAGCACTTTCCAACAAGAAAAGAAAGATTCATGCAAGAATGTTGTGAAGACACTTGCCGTGCAAGTCAAGTGTCGTGGTGGCAAGAAGAACTAAGGGTCTTATATCACCACTATCATATAATTCGTTTTGATGAATGACCAATTTCAAAAGTGTTTGTGGCATCGATTTTTTTTTTTTTTGTCGTTCTGTTTGGTGTTTGATTTATGAAATTAACCGTTAATATATATAATTCGAATATGATCCGATCAAGAAATAACCAAGAAATCATTTGGTTTATAAGCATTTTATTGAATGTTTCCTATTGTTAATTGAGATTTTTCGGTAGAAAATAACACATCGAAGAGCAGCTTAATGAGCAACCAAATTCACCATAAATTTTCTAAACCACTCG